CCTCACTTCCATGCAAGTTCTGTCTTTCCTCTTTTTTCTCACAGTAGAAGTGACTTTTTCATTGGGGAGGAGGTACTCAGAGATAACAAACTGTTTCTTTCTTCTGTCTATCTGCCTGTGTTCATGAAATATGTAGCATTTGAGTTCTCTGTTCCTCCATAAGAATTGACTGAAGGGGTTCAAAATCACAGACGGGCACACAGTGCAATTGCCTTAGCCTCATTTATAGAGACCAGACTACGAACGTTGCAGATTTCTTAGTAACACATTATTTAATATCAATTTCAATTATCAAAGTCTCTGTGATTTTTTTTTCCTCCCAGAACATAAAACACAACAAGAATGTGATTGCTTTCTATTCTTTTAAATGGCGATTTGTACTTCAACATCCAGCATCATGAAAAAGCTTTATCTAAGATTCCTTGTTTTCCTAAGCTTCAGCCTGGGGTCATGTTCCCTCTTGTGCATATCTATTGTAGGAGTTTATCTGTAAACCCAATTCTCTTCCTCAAATTGCAGAGATTGAATGACTTTTGCCCTGATATGACTCATGGGACATGGGTCTACTTCAAATCCCAGCTCTCAGAAGTAGACACTTAGGACCTAGGGTCTCTTCTGGCTGTTTGGGAAAGGAATCTGTGAATCAGTCCTAAAATGGGCAGAATTAATCTTATAAATGATCCTTGTGGCATGGAGCTTTCTCGCTAAGAGGAACTTCACAGTCAGGCTGTTCTCTGAAGGCAACAAAAGGAACGAATTGTAAAAGTTTGCAATATACCATGTACATACTATATACTACGCTACAGTGGCAACAGTACAATTACTATTCTGAGCTTCCTAGGAACTCTAGGAATAAAAGCATAAATCACAACTGTCAAGTGAATTCTCTAATTCAGACCAGGTTCCAGGTAGACTGTCATATGGCTCAAGCATACAGGAGCAAAACATGACTTACAATCACCTTTTTATCCTTATTCATGCTGTTACTGACACCCATTAATTCTAATATTCTCAGTGGTATGGAAATTGGTTTCAACTGAACCCAATCTCATTTCACTGTCTAGGTGGTGAGAACAAATACCAGCTGTAGATCATCTTGTGTTAGATGTAGATTTTTAACCCCAACATGACCAACGCAACAACACATGGCTCCTTCTCAACCACAAGTTCATAAACACACAAAATAAAGTGATAAAGTATAAATGATGCGTGAGATCTAGGGTTCTGGCTGACTCTTACCTTACCATTGATTAAATCTGGAGTCAGATTATGACATTAATCTAGGACAAGTGTAAAATCAAAATCCTACCTTGGTGGCTGATAAATAATTTAATGTAGAATTATAATATCCATTAGTCTTCATAAAATATTTTCAGAAATTACCAAGGTAGAGATCCCCTTTGTTCATGAATATAGATAACTGAATTGTAGGATTTTTGGATCCTGACAAGCTTTGCTAAATACTCAGCTACTAATTATGAACAGAAATAAAAGGGCACCTGCTGAAATAATTATTAAAGGATATGCATCTATGACCTGCCTCTGATCAGATGGATGGAACTAGTATCCTACACCAGTAGAGAATGCAATCTTCCACGTTTTATGGGGAATGTACCATTAGGTAAATGATTATATCAGTAAAATTGCTAATTTGGGTGACTATTAAACAACTGGTTTTGAAAGCAGAAGGAAAGTAGCAATATAGTTACACTCTAAATGAGATGAAATAAATCTATACACTCCATGGTGCTGGCATAGATTTTATTTACCCACAAATAAATCTGGAATATTTACACAAAACTCAATTTGTAGCAGCACTATAAAGTTACTAAATAGCTAAAAACCTCATGTAGGAGACTAGGATTGGACCCTGACTGTCAGTAATGATTTAACAGCTGTAAATTGAAGACATTTTTTTTTCCCCATGAATTTGCCTAATTGCGTTTTGAACTCATATAAGCTTTTTTCATGGATGTTAAAAATGTCTATTAGTTTAAAGGAAAAATAACACAAATCCATGCTGCAAATGTCTATCCAAGACAAGTACAATGTAAGCAGGGGCTTTGACTCCAGGAGTCTTTCAGATGAAGTGCTGGGAAACTGGGATTTTAATCTGAGGAATTATCACTACATGTATCCCTGTTCGGCTCTTGCTTCCTGTGTGTATGTTGTCAGCCACTGCTTGACCAGGATCTTGAAGCACTGGCTTGGATAATTTTATCTTCTCATATGGAACCAGAGTATCATGCTAAGGCCTTGGTGTGATGCTGAACCTAGATACAAGAAGGCGTGTCCTTGTGCCTGAAATGTCCTGCTGCCTCACAGTCTGGCAGTTCTGGCCAGAACAAAATTGTTTCCTGTGCGTTTGGCCAACTGCATTAAAAAGCGCATGCAGCTGCACCAGACTTGGCAGGAGACGTCTCCCTCTTCCTGCCCCAGTAGTTTTGAGGAGCACATTGTCTGTGTGCCCTGCGTTTCCCATCTGCACACTCCCTTCTGGCTGCTCCAGGGATGAAGGGCAGGAAAGTGGGAGTCAGCCACACTTCTGCTGCTGATCTGGGTAGTGCCATGCAGCAACTTGCCTGTGGTCACACCATAACTCAGTGCCAGAAGGTGGCTGTCCCGTGGCTGTGGTTTGGCCACTAACTAATGGCCGATTTCCTTCCTCCCCAGACTGGAGAATATAAATGGAGAAGCGTGTGTAGTCGCAGATCCTGCCAGGACCCTGGGGACACAGCTTGGTTTCCAGCTGAAATCCCACCCCAACCCGTGCCACAAAGCCACAGCTCCAGCTGATGAAACAAAGAGGGAAGACCTGGCAAGGCCTCATTTGCCTTTTCTCCAAAGCAGGTTGAATTTTCAGCCTTAGGGCCTGACACCAAAAGTCATTTTCTTTCCTAGATTAAGGGCAATTCTGGTAATGGTTCAGATACAGTATTTTTAGCTGCTGAATTACAAATGAGGCTTATAGCTGGATGAAGAAAATTAATTGAAGTTCAGTATCTGCACAAGTAACATTTAGAAACATGTCTGCTTGTACTCAAAGTCGGGCCCCCCTGGATATAGATTTGGGATGAACCAGAAATGAAGAGAAACTAAAAACCTGTGATCTTCTGGGAGCTGCAAACTCACTGAATGTCTCACACGGGTCTCCTCCAGTTGTAATCTTAAGCTGTATTGGTTTCTTTAAGCACCAAATCCTTTAAAACTGGACATTATGTACCCCGACAGCTCTGTCCTGACAAGCACTGTGGCACTCATGGATGCTGGGCCATTTACCCCCACAGACACAACTACTCCCATCGCTTCTGTGCACATCCTCCCTCCAGCCTTTCCTCCCTGCCCAACAAATTCAGGCCTAGAGCATTTTTACCACCCCAAACTACAGCAGGGCTGCTCCTTGCTGCCTTTTTGCCAGCGCCTCCTTGAGCCTCCTTCTCCAGGCCTACGCTTCCCTTGGAGATCGCCCTACAGTCCCAAGCGTGCTCTGCTTCATCGCAAAGGCCCCCCAGTTTGTTTGTTATTTTTCCTCCTGATTTATTTACGAAAGCTGCGTGCTGAAATGCTCTCCCACTGGTCGCCACCTCTTTTCTCTGCTGTGTGCTTCCTGCTGGGTGTTTCGCCCTGACACACCAATAAAGACATGAAACATGATGTGGAGGACATCTGCCCTGTGCTGCCGTGCATCGACAGCGGAGAAGCTCCAAGAGTCACAACCTTCTTCTTTTTTTTTTTTTTTTTTTTCCCCTCTTCACAGGACTATATTGCAGGATGTACAGGGCTTCCTGCTGCAGCCCCCCGCGGCCCGCAGCCCCTCGCTCTCGCTAACACCACCGCAGTCTGCAAACGTTTAAAGGCAGTTTCTTCGGAGTTAGCCACATGCTTCGAATTGTTATGTGGTTAACCACCAAGAACAAACCCCCACACAAATACCTACGGATCGACTTGCTCGAGCCAGGGTGGTAGCGGTGGGGGTGGAGGGGAGGGGGGGCTTCCTTGTTTCGTTTTTGATGAGAAGAAAATCAAGTTTTCTTGACTTTTCCAAGCTGCTAGCAGCAGCCACATCGCGGTACGCACCGCTTGTCGTTTCTGCATTTGTTCACGTTTACTGCTGATGAAAGGAGCCTTGTTCGGCAGCCCTGGTCTTGTATGCCAGGGGCCGCATCCTCAGCTTGGTGTAAATAACCTTTCCTGGTGAATGGGAATGGAAAATGCGACTTCCTCTACGTGAGCACTGTGCGAATGAAAAGCCGGGAGAAGCCTTCTGCGCTTTGACATTGCCCTATCCCATGTCCCTTAACTCTTATAAAAGCTGAATGCTTTTCTGCTGACTCACAGAGGCAGATGGGTTTTGTTAACTCCAGCCGAGATAAGGGAGAGTACAGGGAAAGCATCGCTGCCTCTCTGGCATTGCATTTCGGGGGGACCAAGCGAAGACCCTCAGTGTGGATGGAGCTTGCCTTGTGGGTACCATGTGGACGAGAACCAGGCTGGATGGGGCTTTGAGCAGCCTGGTCTAGTGGTAGGTGTCCCTGCCCATGGCAGAGGGTTGGGATTAGATAATCTTTAAGGTCCCTTCCAACCCAAACCATTCTGGGATTCTGTGTTCTACGAGGGCAATACCTGCTCCAGGCTGAACCCTACCACCTCCTATTCTCACACTAATCAGTGTCTGAAATAACAGGGCCTAGCATCCTTCTCTCACCACCTGGTGCCCTCTCCCTGAAGCACTGCTCCTCCCCAAAGCACAAGAGAGAGCCTTAAAGCACAAGGGCAAAGAGAAAAAGTGCCCCAAAATAAGAACACTCCTCCAAAATCCTTGGTAATTCCACTGTGCCTATTTAAGTCTTCTTGAATTATAGAATTATGTAATGACAGTTCCCTTTGCTTGTATTTCCATCTGTTCATGTAGCACTCATGATAGTAGACCCAAATGGAAATAAGAATAATCCTTTTGCCATGTACCTAACTTTAAGATCCACCTAAAGTTCATTTTCATTTATAAAATGGCTGACAAAAGACCCTACAAGGTGGGTAGAAGAGGCTCAATGAAACAATTTTAATCCCAAAGTGATCAGGTAAGGAATTGCATTCTTTGCTTTTTCCAGAAAATAGCGTGGAAAGGAGGGGTTAAAAGCTTACATTGTGGGGAAAAATTTCAGGGAAAGTGGCTTAGTTCCTCTGGTCCATTCATCATCTGAGCAGAGAAATATCACTGCATGCATGAAGTTAGCTCTGCAGGACTCTCTGCCTGTCAAAACTGTTTATCTGCACTTGCCAACAACAGCAAGAAAGGCAGGAGGACTGGCGGCCGTGATGGTGAATGAGTTGGACACATGTGGAGAAGGTGCACGAGCTGAACTTCCTCACTGATGCAGAAGAGATAGAAGAAAAAGGGAAAAAATGTGAGGTATCTAACTGTAGAGAGTTTAACAGTGCAATTAGTTACCAAAAAGATTGGTCTTTTGCCACATTTCTCCATGGGCAACTGAACAGATAGGTCTTAGTAGTCCAATCAGCCGTCAATTAGCTGCCGAAGGTATGGGGACAAATGCCAACAGAACCAGTTGCTGGAGGATACTGGCCCATTAACATATAGCAGTAGGGAGTTGAGCTGGGAATATTGCATTTAGATAGTACAGAAATAATGTGATAATCATTTATTAGGGCACTTTTCAATGCTTGGTGCAGTTATATAAAGAGGTACCAAAAATTCCCACAGTCTAAATCAAAGCAAGCCTTAAACCTTTGTGAGGGCTATTTGGACAAAAAAAAAAAAAAAAAGAAAAAAAGAAAAAAAAAAAGGAGGGTGGAGGGGGGGAGGGAAGCGAATTCACATTTATAAAAAGAAATCCGCACACAATGAGCTGAAGGTTGTGCTTCTGCACTTCCTGGTCTGGGTGTGAGCAGAAGAGGAAATACCAAAATACCACCAGAAAAAACTTCCCACAGCATTTCCAACCTGACTTAAACCAGAAAGCTCTGACCATCCTGCAAAAAAAGAGGGAAAAAAAGCAACTGAACCAGTCCCAAGGCTCCTGCTCATCAGACAGCCAACCACATTTCCAAAGCTAGGGGATCTGGGTAGACTTAGAGAAGTCTTCACATTTCCCCTCAGTCTTCATCTGTGCTCTCTATTTTCTGCAGTTCACTGATCATTAGTGATGTTCCGACTCTTCTGCCAGCTTTGAGAGGAGCACGTTTCTGCTTTGGCCACTTCAGTCACAGCCATGGACAGAGCACAGCCACGAGACAGGACACCAAGGTCTGGTCTAACTCAGGTGAGGAACTCCTTGTCCCCACTTTCATTTCTGGGGGATCCCCCACACTGAGAATACACACCTATGTACACAGCAAGAACCAACATTTAGATGCATAAAATACCATCGGTTTCAGTGTTGCCCTGTGTTAATAATTAAAATCGAGTTCCTGAAGGCTTGCAGGCAAAAAGACGCCAGTTTGGTCTGGCTGGTATCACACAAACCTTCTGCTGATACTGAGGAAAGAAGAAAAGCTTGAAGAAGAGCAGCAGGATCACATTCAAAGGGTTGTGCAGAAACCCAGCACACTAGGCAATTGTTAGTTTAAAACTTCAAATTTGGAAGCTCTGGAAAGAATTTGGAAAATGTTTTTTTCCCTTTATTGGTATAAAAAAGTAAGGTATTTTCTCCTGCTAAACCCCAACATTTTAAATGATGATTGATGTGCAGTATTATACGCTAGAGTTCAGGACATTTTCAGTAGTCTAATGAAAATCAGAGCTAAAGTAGAGAAAGCTGTTTTCATTATATACATTTCCTAGTATCTAAGCAATTTCTGAAACAAGATTTTTCCCTAAAATTAGAGAACCAAGTCCCTGGAACAGGTCCAAGGAGCAGCTCAGGAATGTGCAGTGCAACCACAGCCTGCAGCTAAGGGACACAACAAAAGCTGCAACAGTGATGATGTTTTATCTTCCACATCTGACTCCAAAAACTCTTCCATGGATGCCAGCAATGAAATCTGATTCAAAGAGGTCTGAAATGAAGATTTTTTTTTCTTTTCAAAGCTGACTCACTGATTTTGAGACCAGTCAATGTGTTGCATTTGTGACCATGTTTTAACTAAAAACACCTCAGGCTAGTAATAATGCTGCCATGGGCTCTCGCATCCAAAAATGAAGTTAAAACCTTAGCTAAGCCTCATGTTTGAATATAGCTTTCCAGTTTGGAGCAGCACAGCACTCAGCATTTTCCCTCCAACAACGAAAGCCCCTTTCTGGCCTCCCGGAACATTACTGCAGAAAATACGCTTTCACTCCTACTGCAAACTTATTTAAGAGACAATAGGAGAAATAGTTATCACATGGGTTTTTCTTCAATTTTAAAACTGGATCAACAATAAAGCTTAAAAGACCAAGGAAGCATACAATGACACTCATAAAACGATCTTTTTCTTTTACGATTAAATTTCACGCAGATTGAGTTGTTGCAATTTGCTACATGTGGCCCCAATTCTGCAAGCCTTCCCTTAGTACGAGCTCTTTTAAAAGCCACTGAGGTTGTTTGTGTGAGTAGAAGTTACTCACATGGGTAAGGACTGGTAGAATCTGGCCTGATAGATTTAGTTACGGTAAAGTTTACCTAGATGTTATCTAGGCTGTAGAGCAGTGTGTATTTTTAGAAATGAAAAATGGACTTAATTATTTTTATTTATTTATTTATTTATTTTTAAGAAAAGTTTTACCTTCAGCTATACCCCTCTGCTTTTTGCAGTTTGCTCAGCAGCCACACTCTGGCTGCGCTCAGCCTTTGTCCTTGTCCGAGAGCTGTACGGGACTGAGCACCCTCCCAGCCGATGCCCTGTAACTCACCAGGACTTGTGCAGGCTGAATTCCCATTCCAGATTTGCTCTTCAAACCTAAGGCCATTGTTCCATCTCAAACTAAAATGTATTCTCCCATGGGCAGCTGGAAAAGACCATTTTTCTTCAAGTTTTATTTCCAAAAAAAAAAAAAAAAAGGAATAAAAAAGAAAAAGTCAAATAAAACAAAATTAAAAACAAAGCAAAACAAAACAAAAACAGGAAATCCAATGCACGGCGAACCCAGAGTTCTGCAGTCTAAGAGTGTTGATCTGCATCCATAAATGTCCTGACCGGTGAGGAGACACAGGCACTACAACTGGAAAGAGAGCAGGAAGGAAAGCCTACCATGTGAGCAAAGTGAAAAAAAAAAAAAAAAAGTTAAAAAAAAAAGTGAGAGAGAAAAAGGTCTGCTCAGTGGACAGCACTTGGGCTGATAGCAGGGATTTCAGGAAATCCAAACACTCAGACAGGAAATCTGAACACTGGATAAACACACCATAATCTCCACAGATACAGCTAACGTGCAGCCTCTCCTGTTAACCCTTCGCCTGCCCATGGTGGGGGCTGCAGCCAGATATGTGATGCCTTGTAACACAAGCTGCCCGGGGGGGGGGGCTTAAAACTCCGAGCCCTTCTTTCCCTGCGTTATAGCAGGGAAAGGAGGACTTATATCCAACCTTGTTGCTCCAGCATCCTGTTTTCCTCCCTTTGTTCCTAGATACTGATGCTTTAGCTAAAAAGTGTATAATTTTTAGGTAGGTTTTCCTCCTCCGAGATGGAGGTGATATTGCACTCGGTGCACACTCTGTGCCATCAGCTGTGGCTACCTGGGACTCCTGAACCAGTGTTACCTCTCTCTCTGCTTTCCCCCCCTCTCTTTTGCTGTAACACAAGATTTATGTGTCTGTCTGTGGGACACTTGCAGGCTGCCAGTGATGATTTACTGTAGGGTTGATGCAGAATGGGAGGGAAGGGAACCTCCAAAATTAGAGAAAGGTCTTAAAGGAGAAGCAGAGTCTGAAAACTCCCTTTATGGTATTTTGTCAAGGAATTTAGGGTTGAACTCTGCAGTCCTTAGCAAAATTAAGACGAAGCCTGCTTGGTTGCTTGTTTCTAGTGAATGGACTCTCATTACTTTATTTTTTGTTTGAATCGTCTTAATTGATTTCTTTATTTCTATAATCTACCTTGGTTGAACTATAAATGTAAAAATCTTTGTTAGCTACAATAGAAAAGGAAAGCAATAGCACTTCCTATCAAAGTAGGTGTAGAACTCCTTGCTCCCAAAGATGTCATTCATAAAATGAAGTTTTTGTTGGAGTTGTCCCATTGAAATCCAAAGGGCTATGAGCACATGCAGAAAACTGAGCCCCAGGGTTTTTGCAGGATGCAGACTGCTGTGTTTTTGTAGGAGGACAATTGCAGGCTTCACCACTTTTCAGAGGTTACTCACTCCTAAGGCAAGGACCCACTTCCAAAAATGTGGCTTCTCTGTAAAAATTGACTCCACCTTTTTGACACAGCCCTGACTACAGTATGTTAGAAACAAAACCGGTGTCTTCAGATTTTCTGATTCTCCTAAGACCTAATGATTAAAAAAAAAAAAAAAGTATATTGAGTTTCACATGCCCGTTTGCTAGAGAAGTATTTAGACACAGAGGTAATCTCCACTGGCTGGTGCCCTGGCTCAAGGCAAAGGCAATTAGCTCCTCTGAAATAGCCTTAACGTAAGTCCCACATGCAGTATGAGCCTATATAATTTTTTAGGGTACTCACCAGGAACAAAATATGAGCACTAGAGGCAAACAAACACTTTCTGCTAATTACGGCAGGTTTCTGCTTATTTCAAAGAGAGAAGCTCTGGCAAAAATATAACGGATTACAGTGTTCCCTGAAAGTGGCCAGGTTTGGCAATCATGCCTGGTCTACTAAGACAGGTTGTGTCGGCCAAGTGGTGCTGTGGGCAGCCTGGCAGCAAAGTTGGAGTGGAAAGTGTGGATTTGGGGGCATCTCTGCCTCGGGAAGTCTGATCTGGTTTCCAGTTGAGTTCTGAGTCAGGACACAACTTCCAGGTTGGGTCCTCTCATTGCCAGTCATCCTCCCACTACTTTTTAGGATGCGTGAGGCCAGTGATGGAAGTCAGTCCCTACAAATGCAGCTGGAGCGCTGGCGGCAGCATCTGTGCAAGTGGCTGGTAGAACAAAGGCTTTGCTTTAGAGGCATGAAGTCATTCCCTTTGCCTAGCACGTGCTACATGAAACAAGTACCAAATGGTTGCTTGATGATGTCAGGAGAGAACTGGTGGAAAAAAACAGGGAAAAATTAAAACATCTGAGTTTTTTTCCTTTCCCATGTATTTTGCCAGTGAGCTACTTCAGTTATTCACTTTTTTTTTTTTTCTTTCCATAGAAGTTTTTCTGTTGTCACTTTTTTCACCTTCCCTCTTGCATTCTCCTTTTAGTTCCACTTTTCCCAGTAGCAAAAGGAAAACAAAAACAGAGAAAAAGAATAAAGCACAGCCTTTGTTTTTCAGTTTAACTGGAAAAAAAGAGAAAATATTCATAACCCCTCAAAATATACATTTTTAAAAATTTCCTTTTAAGATTAAGAGACTTTTCATTTGAAAACACTCAAGCAGCTCTACAAAAGAAGAGCTGGGGGAAGCGGGATATAATTTATTACCACTAACATCTGCTGTAAATCAGTTAGAGGTAGACAAACATTCCCTGCCAGGGCACAGTTAGGTCAAGGTGAGAGGGGATAAAGCAATAATTAAAAAGCCTAGTGTCCTCTGGCTACCTTCAATAGGCTGTGAAGAGAAGAGCAAGTGCTTGCTGCAAAACTGGCTTTTGTCTTGAAAAATTTCAAAGAGAGGGAAAAAAATTCATTGTTATGTTCAATGGACAGCTATCAGTTTATCAATTTTTCCAAAAATTTCTGTACAGAACTGCAAAAAGTGGTTATACTTTTGTGGTTTTCTAGTTGAAAAAATGACAAAAGGTTGTGTGTACTCTGAAAAGTTTCACTTGATGAGAAATTTCTATTGAAAAATTCTACAGAAAAGTGTCTTTGTCAGTCCTAGTGAAAGGGAGAAAAAGGACAGCATGGCAGGTAGTATAACAAAGCTGACAAAAATAAACCGTACAGAAATACTCAGCAGAAACAAAGTAGAGAGAAAACTTCAAATAGGCCAACAGTCACCGAAACTAAAAAAGTGAATGAAGATTCCTGAAAGGGCAAAGCAGCTGCAAAATCCCCACTACCAACTGAGAAAAAAAAAAAAAGCCAGTGGCCTTACTCAACACAGACGTGAAGATGCTTGCTTTTAAACTGGAAAAACAAAACAAAACAAAACAACCAAAAATAACAACAACCCCCCATCACGAACAACAACAAAAAAAACACCACATTAATCCTTGACGTGTGCACAGCAGCTGAGATTTCTGCTCACTTGTTCTATATCCCCAGGATATAACTTTCTGTAGACCTCCAGCTGATAACGAAATTCTCACTTTTTCAACAAAGAACTCGAAAGCTACTGAATTAAGACAGATCAGTTCATTAAAGATTAAAAGGGTTTAGCTATGTATGTGAAAGATAAAGCACATGGAATTATAATTGAGATTGTGAACAAAATGCTTGTGAAAGAGTTATCATTAACCTGCAAGGCCCCAAGCTCTGTTATTCTTCATGTTTCAATGACAAGCCTTATTATAAATAGTTAGGAAAATTTTTCAGTATAGATTTGAAACAAAGATCTGTTCTTTATTTTCCACCACCCTACTTATTGGATTTGGAAGAGACTTCTGCTAAATAATGAAAACATTTGGAGACAAAAAGTGATGGTCCCATCTTTGTCATTCTTCACCCTTCAGTCTCACGGAGGCTTTATACCCTTGAAATAGTGACAATATATTCACATGAAACTAATTTACCCTTTTGAGTGGAGCCAGCCCTGTGCACTCAGCAGTCCCACATCCTTCAGTAGCTACCAGAAACTGGATGCCAGAGAAATACTGTGTCACGCTTACACCAACTTCCACATTCACACTATGGCTCTATCTGGATTTACAACAACATATGCTTAAACTTAGCAAACATTAGAGAAAATGAGTAGAAAACACTAACCAAAAGGATTTCATAAATACTGACATAACTTCCCATAAGCTATAAACACTATTTTTTTTCCACAAAACTTCAGTAATTAGCTGGTTTAGAGACTTCTTGCCGTGCTACAAAACATATCTCTTTGTACACTGACTTTCAGTTTGAACATGTTTGCTTGGAGATCCCTGCCAATTTTATTACAGTCCATTCCTTCCTAAATGAGCAGCCAAGGAGGTTTACTTTTGAGATCAGCATCCCTGCTGGCACTTCTGCACCAGCCAAAGCACCGAGCCCCCTTCATCCAGCAGCAAGCCATGTGCTCTTACATTAAACAACAAATGTTGCTGCTTTCCCCACTGTTCATTCAGTGAAATACAGCAGAAGCTGTGTTTTAACAGGTTTAACAACATGTTTGTACATTTATTAAGCAAATAACACCTCTTGACGTTATGAAAAGGTCCGGGAATTGGAAACTGCCTTGACAAGAAGCACTTGACCCTTGGTGGTAACTACAGGCTGCACCACTGCACGGGGGGCTGTGCACATTTCGTTTTTAACTGTTTTTATGTTTAATAGTTTTCTTTTTTATAAGGAAAAAAAGACCAAAGCATTTCATTTTTTCTACTTTCCTTTTCATTCCTCCTTCCTAGCTGTAATGGCAAAAGGGGGAATGTTTTCATAGTCCACTTTTTCTCCCCTACATATATTTTTCTAAAACGGTGTGTGAAAAGGGAAATTAAAGATAAGTTCAAAAAAACTTTTTAAACAGTTCTGCTCTAAATATGCTGCATAGAAATGCAATCCATAAAGGGCACTAAAGAAAACAGCTGTCACCTAAAGACATCTCCATGGTGTGAACATAGCTGCAGGCTCCATTGTTTGCTATGTGTGGAAAGTCCAGATAACACTGAGAAAAAAAACAGAGGTTGAATTATACACCACAAACACTAGCTGCAATAAAATGTTGCCGCACAAGGAACAGGCTGATATATGAATTTCCGAGAGTCACTCTGCATTGTTCCCTGGAGGTTTGCAGGCAGGCAGCTGTGCTGAAAGTGCCAGGTT